GGCCTGTCGGGCCCAGTCCAGAACAAAAACTTTACCAGATTTAATGGCTATTACAGGACTCATATTCATTATTCAGTAAAGATATCACTACTCCAATGGATGACACTATTGAAGAGGTTAAAAAGATAATAAAAATCAATGAGCAGTAAGATATTTTAAACCACTCAATATTTTTACATTAGTATGTATTAGATGTAAAGATGTTGTAAGTGTTAATGCGACGAAACACTTAGCAAGTAGTTTACACTGCTATACTCAGTTAAATACAAAGAATTTCTCTTCTTTATTATGCATGACTCGACTTTCATTGCCATGACACACCGAAATGTGATGGACGAAAAGCATGACTTAATCTGTCCGCACTGCTTTAACATTGAGGAATACTGTTTATAAATGTTTATGTTGCAACTCTTGTTGTGTTTTCTGTCACAAAATGGATAGGACAGGTCTGTCTTGGAAATTTTGACTGCCGATCAGTATTCAGTTCTGACATATTTTGAATTGGGATTGCGGGTTATTTTGGGATGCTACTTGATGATCTTTTATGGAATAATAGGAACAAGATATCGTTTCTTGAAGGCTTCAAAATGTTAACAAAATTTTATTCCATGTAAAACTTCTTACATGGGAATGGTGATAGTTAAGTTCTTGTAATTTTACTTGTTGGAATTCAAATCCTATGGATTGTTTTTCTAATAATTTCAACTCTCTTTATACTCTCTTATATTTCATCTTAACTTATAAAAAAATATTCGTTGTGGGCATGTGGTGTCTGCTTATATTGAAAAAGTTTTACTGTACCTACTCAAATTGAATTAAAGTTGTTTTATGGGACAGGAGGAATAACCTATTTTAGTACTTTATTCAAAATGCTCTTACCACAATTTTAAAAGTTTTTTTTATAGAGTAAATGATAGTAATTATTAAAAATATATGTTTGTTTCATTTTCTATTTTATTTTGTTGATGTATATTTTATATGATTATATATTAGTTGTGTTATATTTATCACATATTTAATGAAAAATTAAATTATAATACATAATTGCATGAAAATTTTTTATTACATAATCATTTAAATTAAATTTGTAATAAATTTGCAACTCTTACTACCCATATGCGTTTTTATGCGTTTTAACGCAACTTTTGATAACTACAACCAACCAAACTGATATGTACCCTACTATTACTTATCGAATTCCTTGAATTTTGTTCAATTTAAAACATATAAGATCTCATGTCATTAAGATGTGGGCGTGAATATAATAAAATAAAAATATGTTTGTAATAATATTGTGCGACTCATGAAAACACATAAATATCAATTTTATATGTATGTAAAGTGTACTATATCATATATTTATATATTCTTTCTGTCTCATATTATAAACAAAAATTATTTTTTTAAGTTTATTGAATATTTAATATATATGATTTATATATAGATCATATTCATTAAATATTTAATGAATCTAAAAAAATAATTTTTACTTATAATATAGAACATAGAGAGTATTTTTTTAACATGATTTTAATGTATATCTTGATAATTACTATAATTTGATAAATTAAATTAATATTTTTATGATAATTTTTATTTAAATATTTTTTTCTCTTACTTCATATGGATTTTTTAATCAAATTATATAATATTTATATCGATTTTGCGTGAACCTGACACGAATTCTTTACTAATAAATATGAGAATTATATAAACACTAAAAATTTTACAAAAATTGAATTATTATAATTTAATTTTAAGATCTTGCAAGAATATTCATGAAAATTTATTAACCGTTATTAAAAAATATCTGTAACAGATACTATATCTTTTCGGTTTGATTTCTAAGAAACTGGTGATTATTTAATACTATTATTCTCTACTTCATATTTTTTATTCAATCCAAAAAAGTGCTTTATCAGGTGGGGGAATTAGTGTCGATGAATTTATCAAAGCTTCCACTAGAAACAGTAACACGCCAAGCTAGTTAGATTTTGCGAAGTCTAGTTTTGTATTATCTGCCTTCCGATCCTCTTGAGTGTTTTTTTTCTTCTTTTTTATAAGACTCATTTCGACTTTTAAAATATATTAATTAAAATTTTCAAATATATCTTTAATTATACTAATTTTTTTCTACTATTTATAATTATTAAATTTGTATAAATATTAATTATTTTTCTTTCTTAAAGATAAACTTATAAAATTTTATAAATAATTAATAAATTTAATATTTTAACTAATTTTTTTAATTAGCGTAATTTAATCTACATAATCTTATATTTAAGGATGAAGTAGTATTAATTTATTTCTTTTAAATGATTTTTATAGCTTTTTAAATAAATAAAAAACTTAAATTTAAAAAGAAATCAAATAAAAATTAAATTTACATTAAAAAATGTGCATTAAATATTATTTTACATATTTCATTATTTTGTTATAACTTTTTTTAAATATCAAATTTTTTAAAAATTATTTAAATTTAAGATTAGTCGAAAATACTTTTAATGTATATTTGGATGTTAAAGTTAACTTTTTAATTTATAAAAAATAAATTGTAAATAATTTATAGGCAAACTTGCAGCATAGGTCATTTAAGTTTTTGTTTTTAAGATGTTGGTCCTTTAAATTTTTTTAACAACTTTATTTTTTAGAGTGATTTCAATATTTTTTTTCTCGCATTTTGAACATTTAGAAACGTGTGACGGTGGTTGCAATTCATCATTTTTATACTACTTAAAATAATTGTATCCACTATTAACACATTCACTTTGTTAAACAAAAGGTAATGGTGCACATGTTTGATAATTTAAAGGACTAAATTGTTAAAAAAAAAATTTAAAGGACTAATCTATTGTACAAAAATAACTCATATGACCTCTGCTGTAATTTGTCTAACTTATAAGTAAGAGATTAACTTACGGAATGTTTAGGTATTGAAATAATTTTCACATTGTGGCAAGCATCAGGGGAATGACTTTAATGTCTTGGGAAATCCTACCCATTAACGCTTGGAAAAGCGTTTACATGTGATTCATGGATGCTCAAGTTGCACATTTGTCGTTCCTAAGGGTTTCCCCTAACTCATAGCAAACAGCGTTCTACTCCCTCAAGAGGAAACAATATATGGCTACAAGTGTGTTCTTTTACAACAAAGATACAATCAATGGGCTACAAAACCGCTTCATTACCTTACTAGTTTGACAAGATAAAATAGTGGTTCAAATACTTTCATCAAATCACCATTGTTAATCATCAAACAAGTATACGCCAACCGTTTGACAAGATTGCTTACAAGTTTTAATTCATTGGAAACATTGTTCTAGTGATAAGTGCATTAAAAACGTTAATCAATATGTGTTTAAGATTCATCTATTGCTTACTAATAAAATCCAACAAGTTTATCGTATGTCCTGTTTTCTAGTAGTTGGTTCAAAATAGACGAAAGTTGATTCTGGACCTTACTTTTCCGCTGCTTTTAACAAACTTTGATAAAATGTTTTAAATCCTTGATAAATAAGGAGGTGATCTTATCACTCCCCCTCTCGATCACTTGCCACACCGTCTAACAATTAAAATTTGATAATTGACTCTAATAAAAGTATTAATGTGTGCAGTATTTAACGCGAGTGGCAATAAAGTACTGCATATGTATATATAACAAAAAGTGGATAATGTTGTTGTGTTATTCAATTTGGGTTACAAGTTTAGAAAAAACAGAGGCGACACTACGTATATATGTCAATATGAGTTACAAGTTTAGAGAAAACAGAGTTACATGTTAGATCCAAAGAGATGGCATATGTGATTAATATCATAGGTGATGGTCAATAGAGCTATAGACATTAGAGGTGTATGCAAATTGAGTGGTAAATAGAGGAGTATATCACCTTTTCACTGATTTAAAATACATTCGACTATTAGAGACCCATGACAAATGTTATTGAATTAAAATTTAAACCGTCTACGATGGAATTTATGCATTTCTATCAATATTAGACACGTTTAAATGCCATATAGGATTCAAATCAGAAAATCGCAGTTGGAGACGATATATAAAACTCAGTTAACTTTAGAAGGCCTGGTGCATTATTTGAATTGAAAACACCTGATGTACTTACAACTATGACAACTCACAACTGTCATAAATATAATTTACATGAATATTAGAGTAACATGATTATCCCAAATTCTACCGTACAAGTACAAAGAGTGTTAGGATTTTCCAACAGAAGCAAATCTCCACAAGCGTCTTGAATGGGAACCGTCCTGATTTGACAGGGAAAAACTATAACAGATTAAGATGCCAGTTATTTTTCAGCAATGCAGATGCTGGAAATGTTGAGCAAATACACTGATTTCCTGAACCAATTTGAAGAGAGTTATCTGTAAAGTCCGACACAAAGCCATGTCAGAACTTGGCATTACTGATATGCAAGAGTATGCATATTATCCCAAATTCTACTGGACTAGTACAAAGAGTGTAAGTATTTTCCAACAGAAGCAAATCTGCACAAGCATCTTGGATGGGAACCATCCTGATTTGACAGGGAAAAACTATAACAGATTCGCATGCCAGGTACTTTCCAGCAATGCAGATGCTGGAAGTGTTGTGCAAATATGTTGATTTCCTGAAACCACTTTGAAGAGATTTATCTGTATACGTCGGAACAACGACATGTCTAAAATCAACATTATTGTTATGCAGGAATATCCAGATTGAAAACAATAGACTAAAAGGCATTGCTCCATAGGAGTGATAAGAGAGGAATAAATTCGTAAAATTTCAACGTAAAATAATGTAAACATGATCATTCAAAAGATACGCACAAATGCAAGAAATTTTGTGTCAACATTAAGTTAGCACAACTTAATGGCACACAAGTCTAAATTTACAAATCCAATTCAAAAAGGCAAACACTTTTGAAAAACAAACATTGATATTAATTGTACATAGAGTCAAACCAACTGAAACGAAGAGACACAACAAAATACATCTGTGACTAGTCATTCTTCTTCAACTTGATTGTCTTCCTAAGCTTGTTAGAAGATAGTTGTCCATCACAGAATTCCTTCGAGGTTGTTGATTCACTTGACCCCCCATGAAAGTCTCTTTTACCAATAGGCGTCGTTGGATCCGGGTTATACTTAGAGGTGATCTCGAGATCCTGTTACACATTGAATCAGACAATAGGTTTTATTGCACACCATTCAGACAAAACAAACTTATGCAGAAACATGGAGGGAGTCACCATTTACCATTTCCTTTACACAATCTTTGGGCGCACCTGTTTTGGCCTCATCGACACTCTCCTTAACCTAAGCACAATATAACAGTAATCATTATATGTAATATAAGCATATAACAACAATTATAATATAACATGTGAACAACGAAAAACTGAAATAAGGTAAGTACCTGCAAAGGATCAGATGTTATGGAGGGGCCAACAACAACTTCCTTATCCTGGAAAACAAAGCATCGTTAGAAAAGCTGTGTAATACCCAAATAATCAAACAACCTAAAATATCAGAAACCTGCTAAAAATATTATACCTCGTCTATGTCCCATGGAGCCTTAAGCTGCCTGATAAAAGGCTCATCCCTAAGGATACTCACAACATAGAAATTGTTCCATCGCGGCTGCCACTTCACCTTAAATGCCATCTCCAAATTCAACAACTGATACAGTACCAATGAGAATTCCAATGGATCATCAATTCCAGCCTATACAACAAATCTCAACAATGAGTACCAAAACACTACAAAAATGCATATACTAAGGGGTGGGGAATAAGAAACCAAACCTTGATCATAGTATGACGTAGTTAGGCAGCAGATAAACCCAGAAGAAGCTCACATTCTCTATTCCAAAACACAAAGTTACAACTGCTTCCCCCATAGAAAACATGAATCTCTATCTTGTACCTACAATGCCATAATTAACGAATATAAAAAATACAATGACATAAATCATATATAGATAAGACATTATTCTCAAATGGGCTCTTCTTAACACTTATAGAGGAAAAATTTTATGTGCTGGAAGATGAAAAATATATGCATTATTGCAATGTACTTGTGGACGCATATGACGTGGCACTGAATTTTGGTCATCTGATACAAGTTTTCCATAAAGAATTATCCCTCCAGCAGTAATCACAAGGTCTTGCAGATAGCCTTTGTATGATGGGATGAAACCTCCAATGAAATAGAACTTGTAACCATCAAAAAGCTTTGGTTGCTGCATTATAAAATCTATCACAAGTTCATTAGACTGCAAACAAAGAAGTGTTTATTGAAATAGACTGCAGTTGTTCTAGCTTAATTCAATTTATATGTATCTAACTATATAACTTATAATGAAATGCAAATAAATGTAGGCATCTATTTCCAAAAATTCTCACTGTTCACTTTACATGCTTCCTTTTTAGTCATAGTATATATGCTTCCATATATCAGTTACTTGCATTTAATTTTCTAGGCAAGAAAAGTTATCATTTTCTCTTTCATTACACATTGAATATATTATGGGTCAGCTAATACATATTTGAAGAACAAAAATAACTATTAATAGATTGGAAACTAAGAACCTAACCAAGTTCTAGGCATCATATAACATATGACCTCGTCCCAATGAAGGCAGAGCAGTACCAACCAGAAAATTCTTGGATTTAGATGTGTAAAACACCTGCTCTATATCGTAAATTAGAGTGATGCCAAACCAATACAGACTGAATTTTGGCTCCCATGAAAGCATCAGCTGGATACCTAAAACATCAACAATGAAAGGCATTGAAGCCCTTCTTTATTATTCCAGTTCTTAAAAGCAAATTTCTTATTAAACAGTTTATAAAATTTATAACATAACATATTTATATGAACAAATTATGGAGATATCGAGACGAAAAACTTACTGATGTAGAGTTTCAAGACCGCAGAACGCAGTGCAGACAATAATTAAACTTTCAAAAGGCTGTCAAAGTCCATTACCTCCACCATTATTTTACTACGATATCATTTCAAGACAGCAACACATACATAGAGGTGCAGCTGTTCCGAAGGATAATGTGTCTCTAAAACTTCCCACGAGAGCATTGTTTTCTCGTACTCAAACTCCATAAAATGTAAATAAATATTATAGAACCAATGTCGTAAATGCATCATGCCATCAATGGTTGCTGCCATGTGCAATGGAGTTTTCTCCTTACTGCATAAGTGACAGAAAGAAAAATTTAGACAATTACAAAAATAACCAAACTTTAGATTATACATATTAACATGCTAACAATTAATTTGAATATAAAAATTGATGGCACCAACCATATTCCTAGCCTCTATTTCAACTCTCTCTGATCCTTTCCACTGAAGAAGAATTTTAACCATCTCACCCCTATTGTTACCTGCAGAAGCGTGAAGACGTGATTGTGCCACCTGCATTTAAAACATGTTTGATATTCAACAAATATTTCAAATCCGATATAAACCCTAAAGAAATCACAATTCAGGTACATAATTCATAAGTTTGTGACTGATGGATTGAATCCTGAGGCAACTTCTACGGGTAAGCATGCCTTAATCCTTCCTCTGCAATCCAGTCGGTATTGTTGCCATAATCTAAGAGCATTGTGATTTCCTTACTACCTACTGAGAAACAACTTACAGTTTTAGATCATGATGAGAATTTTACGAAGAGATAGAGATAAACTTAAATAAAAAATATAATAATTGACCGAAATGACAGACAAATTATGATTTCGCTAAAAGAAGGGGAAACTGAGATCCTAACTGCATAAGAGTAGCAAATTTGAAGCAGAAAGGTAGATTTGTAAATTTGGAAATTGATCTGGAAATTGTAAAATTAGGTAGAACATTGTAAAATCAGTGAAAATGTAAAATAAGTTCATAAAATAAGTTCTGGAAATAGTTGACAGGAGCCACAAAGTATTGTCTGCATATATAACAAACACAATCAGTTAGAACACTAACGAAGTTCAATATCATTAATGAACTTTTATATATGTGAATTTCAGTATTATCATACCCTAAGAATATAAAATAATACTATCAAATAACAAACTAATCATTTGTTCAATGTCTAAAATCTGCTAGATGAATGAATGGTTCATGAAAATCAATGAGTGGATTTCAAAGTGCAAGGTTGTGGAAGCAACAACAGACCTCTCATATCGCCTTTATCATCCAAAAGCCTCTGATCCCTTTTGTTCCTACAATATTGTTTATCGAAATGCTTCACATGCCACATATGATTAATCAACATACCCAATTAGAAAAGCATAAATTTTTACAATTGCGAAATTAGAACAGAAAAAGGGTTGAAATGGGATTAGGTTAGGGTTTCCCTTACCCAAGAAGATCGACATTGATTTACGAACTGATCTCTAGATTTCTTGCATTCAATTGGATAAAGCAAACCTACGAATGCAATCTCGGTTGGTTTCTTCTCACATCCCTTTTTTAAGGCACGAGAAGAAAGTATGACGAGCCTGGTTCAATGCAAAGAAAAATCAATATACCAGAACAAAGATAATGATAAAGCGTAAATCATAGAAACCAAACAAAGAGAAAGAGAGTTATCTTGTAGCATGATTCTCTGGCTTCAGAGAAGACCTCAGATTGGACTTTGTCATCGTTTTCTACTTCTACAATGTAAGCTTACACCCCCATTGTTGATTGATAAACTTGAAATTGGATGTGTGGAATTACAATGTAAGAGAAAGAAGATGAAGGATGAGAAAGAGAAAAGACGAGAGAGAAAGAGAAAAGACGAGAGAGAAAGAGAAAAAGAAAGAGTATGAGAAAGAGAAACCGGAAGAGACAAGAAAGGAAGAGGAAGAGAGAAGTGGAAAAAAAACTATTTTATGTTTGCTAAGAAAGCCACGTATTGTATTTTTGAAACAAAAAGACAAAATAGAGAATTTGGGTAGATTCACTTTTTTTTATATTATAGATTAATTCTGGTTACTAACATTATTAGTATAACTTATTTTACCATTTCTCACTAATAATATAATTAGGTAGGGTTTTATCACTAATATTTTAATGCTTTGTTATTATTACTAGGATAGAATTACATTTTATTTTTTATAGTCATTATAGGTTTTTAGAATTATTATCAATTTTGTAGTCTTAGTTCATTTTTCTTTATTATTGTAGATTCACATCACATTATTAATAGGTATTATTATTGTAACATTATTAGTAGTGGTAATTACCTTTTGTTATTATAAAAAGAAATTAAAAAAAAAAATTCTCAAGGACCAAATCAAGAACCACGAGTAAGAATTCCAAAAAGAAAAAGAAAAACTTCCAAATCCAAATCCAAATCCAATTACACGTGAAGGAGAAGCAAAGACAAGTCACAAACTTGTTCCAAACTTGTTTGCAATACATTCGAAGCCGCTCGGAACAGCCGCCGTCGTACAGCCGCGTCACTCCGGTGTCAGCCACGCTCCTTCCGCGTATATATATAAAAGATGCTTATTTGATTAGGTTTTATTAGTTTAGTTATTTTAATTATTACATCAGTTTAGATTTTAATTACTTGCGTCATATATAAAAAAAAAGTGCAAAAATAGTTCTTCTTAGGTTAATTAGACTGTTTGGGTAATTAGTTTAATTATTTAATCAGGGGTTAATTTAATTTAGCATACTGTAGTTTTTTTTTTATCATAAAAATCACAAAAATATTTACTTTTGTTATTCGTTTTTAATATTCAAAAAAAAATTCGAAAGTACTCTCCCTTTTAGTTTAAGTTAAATCGTCTAACCAATTCAATTTTTTTTTTACTAACTTAAAAAATCAAGACAAATTTCAAAAAGAAAATTAAATTGATATTCTTTAACGCGAACGAGAAATTAGATATATGTCTCTACGACGCGAGCACACATAAGGTTATCGCTTAAAGATGACCAAATTTAATTCCATAAAAAATATTAATCAAACAAATGTGAACTAGGCATAAGGCGTGATGATTTAGCGAGTCACTAACTACTAACCATAACCACTTCCTTTCCCTTGTATATATGAATGAAGAAATAGAGCATGAAATTGTTAGAAGAAAACACACTTAACCCTAGATCTAGAGAAAGTACCCCTTGAATACAAGGGAAGCGAGGGTGCCTAACACCTTCCCCTTGCTTAATTGACTCTCAGACCCTTTAATTTGGTTGCGACGGTCGTTTGATCCTTATTTTAGGTTTTTCCTATTATTTTCCCTGTCCTTAGGATGAATAAACGATAGTGGCGGCTTCATTGATTTTAAACAGGTGTTACAAACATATCTACCACCTGCTACTTATACTCTATCTAGAAAGGAGAAAAAATATTGTGTAAGTTTCTAAGTGAAGTTAAAGTTTCAGAAGGATACTATTAAGATATTAGAAGACTTGTGTCTATGAAAGACCTCAAGTTAAAGAGTTTAAAGACACATGATTGTCATGTTATAATAAAATATTTTCTACCAATAGGTATACGTTCTATTTAGCCAAAAAAAAGTAAGAAGCAAGTGG